CCTGTGCTTGGTCCGCATAAAAATAGTACACAATGTAAGGATTTCACTGAGTTTTAGACATGCTGAAATAAAAAAAAAAAGGATTCAACAAATGATTCAGAAAAGGGTTTTTCTACAAACTTCAGACGCCTGTGCAGAAACGCAGTGAACTTTCCAGAGGTGTGGGTGCTGCTAGCAGAACTGTCTGGTGATCAATATTACCGATCAAGATTGAGGGACAGGGAGCTGAGGTATCTCAGCAGTGAGTTTGGCCTTAAAAACACTATAGTTGGGGATTGTTTTTGGTGTTTTTTTTATTTATTTATCTTATCTAAGCCCTGTGAGTTGATAGATTTAACAACAGGCATTTCAAGCTGAACCTTGATTCTCAACTATGGGTTTTCAGTCTCCCAGCTGTGTTTGAAACAATGCCATGAAAAGAAGGCATCCAGCCAAACACTGGCTGTCATTTTACAGTCTATAAAAGAAAACGTGAAATCGTGACACAGAAATTGTAAAGCCAGTGTTTGGATAATTTATGAGTAATTTAAATGAGGTGGGGGAAAGAACTCTGTGATTATCAGATGGTGTGGGATTGCAGACTTCATTCTTGACCTGAAGATTGTGATTACCCCTAAAACTAGGGCCTGGAAATGAGGACAACTTGGATTCAATAGCAGGAGACTGGGGCTGGCATTCTAATTTTAATTTTAAGAAATTAAGCATAAAAAATGAAGTCTATATGAGTTTAAAAGCCCACTCGGAAGGGGGAGGAATTATTGGATTTTGCCAGTTTTCTCACAGAATTACCAGATCTGCTTCTTGACACTGCTTCTTCTACGGCTGTGTATCCACCCAGGTAAAAATATGTGCACAAAATTATGATCTAAGCTTCCTATCCTATTATAGCACACCAGATGTGTTGCATTTGTGCCACACAACTTTTTCTTGTTGATGTTAAATGTTTACACCTGACTCAGGCCATTTCTGCTGGCCAGTGTCATGTGGTCTTCTCAAGTGTCAACCTCACATGCTCAAAACTGATTTTATTTCTGATCTTTAAGAATTTATGGCTTTCAGAAATGTAATATGATTTAGGAAGGAGAGTTCAATTACTTTTTAACCTGGGGAGTGAACTCCTTGGCAGGGTTTCTGTTGAATTGGTGAATTTTTAGTCAGCTCCTTTCAGCCTTCTGCTGGATGATTTTTGTGGAGCAGAAAGAACAATGGTGAAATTTGTGCCTTTGGGTGTCATGGTTGCTCTCTAGGTTGACCTTTTACCTTAAAGCTAATGTTTTTCAAAAAATTGAATGTTCATCTGATGGTTAGATGGTTATGATCAGATGGTTATTTGATATTCTCCTTCCCCATCCTGTGTGAGGCTGCCTCCACATGAAGAACAGCAAGGCCTGGAGATAAGAAAATTATTTCACAGAATGCAGAGAGGCTTTTGTATTTCTCTCACTTAGGTACTTAATGAGTTCTTTTTGCTAAATGAATAAACTCAGGGTCAGGTCCTGTTTTCTTGAATTTATATTTATTCTTTGGATTAATAACCACACACCAGGCCTTGGGAACACAGGTCATTTTCGGCTGTGAGTTTGGTGATTTGGCTTGAAATTCCAAGAATTTCCAGAATTCAGGTGTAGTGGTGACAGTAATTCCTCAGTTCCCATCATTGCAAAGAAGAGGGAGTGTCTGCCTAGTCACAAACATATTTGCATTGTTTTGGTTTTGAATGTTTGTGGTTTGTTTTGGGGTTTTTTGTCAGCTTCTTAGTAATCTTGCCCAGGGGCAAATCCCAGTAGCAACTGACTGGGGTTTTTGAGTCTACATTGCTCAGGAAATACTAGAGGTTCAAGCATAGAAATACCAAATATTTCAATAAGTATATGACCAATATAGACATACCAGAACTGGACAAAACTGCAGAAGAGCGTTGCATATTTACATTATGTAAAAACATTGTTAGTGACAGGATTTTAGAATGTACCAAGAAAACCCTGCCTGTGTAAAAAGTACTTTTTGAGGCAGCAAAGGGATGGTGCACCAAGAGCAGATCCTGATGGCATTCTTTGTGTCTGGAGGTCTGGTTTTGGAGTAGAAATGGAAATGCTATAACTTTCCTAACCAATTTTTAATTAGTTGTTTTAATTAATTGTAAGCAGAGACCATTTTAGCCAGCACTAGTCAGGTTTCTTCACAGACTCTTATTGTTCCTCTGATCATTAAATCACTGGATACCTAGTTTTGCTAAAACTAACACTGACAAGTTTCAATAAACAAAGCTAAAGGGGTTTGAGGGTTGGACATCTGGGATCCTAAATTCATGGCACTTCAAGGATGTTGGAGTAGCCAGAAGATACAGAGGAGATGAAGGCCTGGAAAGCTGCTGACTCTGTCTGAGAAAAGTATGATAAAAGGACTAAAACTGTGGGCCAAATGAGCATAAAGAGTGAAAAATAATAATATAATAACAAACAATAATTCATCATTTGCAAGAAATTTATAAATGAGTGGAAAAGCTTTGCATCAGCTTGAGTGTGGAGGCTGAAAATCTGACAGCCACCCTCACAAACCCTGGCCAAGAATAAAGCCATGCCTGACTTGCTAACACAAAAAAGACAAGTGTTGAAGAGGGTCGTATTTTCCCTGACACCTTCATAGGATTTGGGTAATGACCTCATTTTTGCACAAGCCCAGGCAGAGGGAGGCCTTGGGAGGGTTTGGCTCTTGCTAAAACCGTGCCCAAACACACAGGGTCAGACTTCTCTGCGGCCACCCATGCTGACGTGTGGCTGGCTTCTTGGAACGTGTGAGAAACCACCTCCTCCACCAGCTCTGTGGGAGCAAAGAACTCATTTCCTATCCCTGCCGCAGCGATTTGGTGTCAAACATATCAACAGCCACAGTAGGGACCGAGGATTTTATCCGAGATAAGAAATGTAGCTCTTCCCTCTCATGCTTTCATTCCCTCCTGGCTTTATGAAGTGTGAATATTGTGGAGTTCACAAACCCAGCCCTCTTCTTGGACTTAAGGCAGCTTCAGTTCAGTTTAGGTGTGCAAGCTTAATTTATTACACATGGTAAGAATTAAGCAGCACACTCAGGGCAGTGAGATTTTTGCCGTATTCAGTTTTGCCATGCCTGGGTTCTTCTGTGGGTTTAGCACAGAGACCCTTCAGGTGTCACCTGCAGCCCTCAGTCCCAGCTGTGCCTGCTGATCCCAAGTCTGTACAGGAAAATCCCACATAAGAATCCCACAGCCCTTTTTAGGGCTGAAATAGCAAGATTTTAATTTCACTTTTAGCAACAAGACCTGGGGGCTCTGTATCTTCCTGGGACACCATGCATGTCTCTGCCTGTGCAGTCATCTTTCTCATTAAAAGGCTACAAGCTGGAAAAAGGTAGAATTTAGAGAAAAGGATATAGAAATATATACTGTCACAGGCTGGATGGCAAAGAGGTTTTGGACTTTTTGTTTTCTTTTAATTCTACTTATTTTTTCATCTGAATTTGAAGCTGGGAGTGACTTCTTTCTGGGATTGTGCATAAATGTCTTGTGGAATTTACAATGGTGGATGGTAATGCTGCATTTCTAGAAAAGAGAGAACACTTTCTTTTGTACCTGGTACTTACTATGTAATTAATTAATGCATATGGAACTATCTGATGATAGCTTT